GGTTTTTATCCGCATCGGTTTTTATCCGCATCTGTATATACATGTTCATCCTCATAATAATTGAAATAAAACTCACATGTTAGTATTAACTAAACATTGTTAACGGTAACAGCAATAACCACTACATTACTAATTGCGACAATTTGAATAGTCTAATTATTGTTTTAAATTACTGGCTATGATGTGGCGAAGTTCATGCTTCCATATATGGTATCTGGTTTATTCAGCTCGACACAGGAGTGAGGCAAAGCGAAAAAGGCGCATCCAACTAAATAGCTTTGATTCGACGAAGTTTTCGTCTGCCTGTGATGTTGTCATGCTGACCCGTGATGTTGACGAATTTGATGATTGGCTGACTCTATTCCCTTGTTTTAGAGTAGGAGAGGCCATCTTTGGGATTGTTGTGAATGTAATTTCAATATGATGTGGCAAATTTCAGCGTCTGAAAACATATTCATATATATGAGTTACGTACATAAGTTTAACATTCCTACCTAATACCTGACGTACGCCTTCAACGTCCTTCACCACAAGAATTGAAAACCTTATTTTCATACGCAATGTGTATTTGGGTAATACTCGCTAAAAACATAATTGATTGTTGTGAATTAAATATACGGACGCAAGCATTTTGGTAGAGCATCAAACAATTTCAAATTTGTCGTAGTCGGTCGACGTTTTTTCAGCGTTATTAGTTATTTGCTTGTTGTTTTTGTTTGGTTGGCTAGAAAATGTGAACATTGCGTATTTTGGTAATACGGCAGGAGGAAAAATGTTACCATAGTGGTGAAGGTGAGTATTTTTGTTCGGCACGACGGGTATTAGGTATTGTCGAACAAAACAAAAAAAAAAAAAAAAACTTATCTAAACCACAGTCATAAATAGGACTTTTCTTCTTTATGACCTCTGAGATAATTATACCAGAATAAATTCTAAGGCGATGTAGTGATATCCGTCCGTTCGTCTGTTGCTATCAGTCGGTCTTCCGAACCCTAATTTTGTACTCTTCTGTCCTACCACACAAAGGTACCTCCCAAAATTCCATAATTTTTAAATGTCGGTATATTAGCTATCAAACATTCGATATTTTGTTTATTTTAGTTACGTTTTTCAACGTTGTTGTAACCCTCTTATATTTGTATAAATATAAACCATCAGGAGAAAAAACGGTTACAACTTCGTTGAAAAACCTAAGGAATATATATATATAATTTTTTTTTCATTTTTTACCTTGGCGATATGCTCGGTATTTTGAATTGTTTCCATTGAATTAATTATAAACCACTGACAGGATATTAGAATGCAGTTCCTACCCAAATCTTAGTTGAGTACAGGAAACGAAATTTCGTAAATGACTTTCAATGTGCACCTATCATATTAATTTGTATAAAAGCAAACATACTTTCGTACGCATTGGTACCTTGAAATGATTAAACTATTTAAATTTTCTAGGCTAGTAGTTTATTACCGTTAAAAATAACTCCAGCATTTCGTCGCACCAATTTGTATGCAAGTTCATATGAATTTATGTAACGAGCCACGACAGATACATACTACATAATGTGCACAAACACATAAATAGGCACTGCTGCAGCAAAAACTATCTCTTAAACGAGAAACTGCTTCCAACTTAGAACAGAATATTGTTAATTTTCAAGAGAGTTTATGCCTATATCCAGAAATTAAAATATTTTGTAAAGCCATGATGCCGTTTATATGCGTATGCGAAAAGGCAACTTACAAACTTCCTTCCTGTGATTTGATGTGGTTCTGCGTGAGGTTGTTGTGGATATGCTGATAACACCGAATGCTTAGAACAATGAAATGTTTTGTTTTGGGCTGTTGTCCAAGCGTGGAGCCGCGAAGCAATACCCGAACTTACAAAGTCAGAGACACTAATGAAATCCGTTCAAGTTGTTATAAACAAAACAACCCAAACAAATGCTCCGAGAAAAAGCTTTTATAGAACTTAGAGCTTTATTCACAAAACATCAACGAATTAACGCCTCGCCAGAGAATATATTTTCAAGGTTCTCCGGCCCATGTTGCATACATATTTCTAAATAAGTGTGTCATCTATCTAGGTATGTATCTTGGTAAAATAATACAGGCATATGCACTAGCACTTCTAAATATTGGGATCGAGGCATACGGTCGGTCAAGAAGACTGAAGACTGACTCTCTTTGAATGTCAGATCAAAACTATGTCTTTTAACAACAAACTTAGTTGGTCGACCTTATATAGAACATGATTGGTATGTACTGATGCGGTGTTTTTTTTATGTTGGTATCATGGCAAAATGATACAGGTAGCAACGCATATTGCAGCAACGCAGCTACTGGTACAATATTTTTGACATATCAATGCTCACAAGTGCTGATCCATCTACTAAATCTACTCGATTTCAAATGTCAATTTCAAAGCATATACTCCACGTAAATCGTGGATCCAGTGGATATTGTTTGACGTATGTATACGCTATCGGTTTGACATTTGAAATCGAGTGGATTTCGTAAACCTAGAGTTTATTAGAGTATGTTTTCCATAGTCAAATTCATTGTAATCGGTCAAATGTCACTGTTATTCTGGATAAAGTTTTTTTAGTTCAGGCATGACAAAACTATACAAGGTTATTACATATGCTTATACATGATATACAATTTTTGTCATATTTCATGGACAACAATTTTTTCTATGCGGAGCTCTACTAAATTAGCAAAGTGGTGTAGGGTATCATAAAGTCGGCCCCGCCCGACATTAAGACTTTCTTTACTGGTTTGTCACTGAATTACCAAATTGGAAAAAATCCACAAAACATGAATTGAATATTGGGCCTTTTTCCAAAAAAAGTGAATCCAAGATAGAGGGACAATATTGTTTTATCCTAAAATTATTTTTAGGAGATATGTAGCTTCGTCCTAAATTCTGTAATTGTGCCATCATAACAACCACATGCAAATTTGTTTATGTACGAAATACTAGATTCATAGTTATACAGGGTGAGATAAAAAAAGTACAACCAACTTCAGACTGCTGTCATTTCTAAGCCACTCGTCCGACAGCTGTTAAATTTTGGTGAGAATTTTCCAGAAAAAAGTTATTCGTGATGGAATTCAAGCGAGATAGTGTGAATTCTTTATATTTGGCTGGAAAACCACTAGTGGCTATCGATAGAGCACTCCAGCATTTAAAGGTGAATAAATCTTTTGTGTCTTGTACTATCGCTCATTACAGTGATACTGGTAACGTAGCCCGACGTCAAGGAAGTGGACGGAAGAAAACAGCAACATCAATAGAAATGGTTCAAAAAGTAAAGAAGCGACTTGATCGAAACCCGCGTCGCACTGGCCGAAAAATAGCTCGTGAGCTGAACATATCGCAATATTACATTTGGCATATATTGAAAAATGAGCTCGGGGTAAAGCCATTGACATTCCAAAAAGTGCAAGAACTTACATCGCAACAGAAATAAAATAGACTCAAAAGAGCTAAATTGTTACTTCGCTTGGCCGAAAGTGCTGAACTGCCGAATTTGGTTTTCTCCGATGAGAAAACATTCGTTGTCCAGTAGTTTGTAAACAAACAAATTGATTGTGTCTACGAAAAGGCCAGCTGAAAATGTGCACCTTCGGTTGACCACCAGAACTCAAGCACCGGCCATGGTGATGGTGCGGGCCGCCATAACAGCCGATAGTCGCTCTCCGCTCGTATTAATCGACCGTGACATCAAAATAAATGCCGAATATTATCGCGAAAATATTCTGGAGGGTGTATTAAAGCCTTGGGCACGTAAACATTTTGGCCACAGACCTTGGACATTCCAACAGGACTCAGCACGCGCCAGTCAAGAATGGTTACAAAATGAGGTGCCCTGCACAATGGCCACCAAAATCTCCGGATACCAATCCGTTGAACTGGGACTGTGTCTAGAGTCTTTTTTTTTTTTGGAAATCAAGGTTGGCACTAAGAAATACCAAAGTGTCGATCACCTCAGGCAAGCGTTTCGCCGGGAATGGGCCAAAATACCGCAGACCAACATTCGAGCAGCGTGTGACGGTTTCATTGGCCGTTTGAAGGCCATAATTCGTGGCAAAGGCGACCAATTCGAAAAAAATCTAAACTTATTCTACAATTTGATGCTATTTCCGACATCTTTGCTTTCCTTCAATAAAATTTAAGAAAAGTAAAAATTATGGCGTTTGACTTTGTTGCAGTTTTTTATTTCACCCTGTACGTGCTAAATTCTCAATTCTTTACTTGAGCGTTTAAAATTTTTAAGATTTGAGTAAAAATTGCCGTATCATATCCTAGTTCCCTTTCTTTAGTCGCGATAATTGACCAGTCACAATAAAGTTAGCGCCCATCTTAAAAAGTCTAAGGGTGCAAGTACATAAACGGCTTGAAGTCAAGGCTAGGCATATTAATGTCAAGTTGTAATGGATAATGACGGCAGGATTTTAGTGCGGCTCTGTACTCCCTTTATGAAATGTTACAAAATGCCTAGCCATGACTTCAAGCTTCTTATGTAGTTGCAGCTTAATTTGTTGGGATTGGCCAATTTATTAAAATAAAGGAATAATTATTACATAAACATTGTTGTAACCGTCTATTATGTAAATTAAGCCTGGTTTCATTGTAAAATTAAGAAGGTAAAGTCATTTCAAATAAGCATTCCCATCTCCGCATTTTATGTAATTTACTTTGTCAAATTTCGCTGCATAGAAAACAGGTTCTATCTCTGATATGTGTTTGTAGATTGCATTTATAATTATACACTTTGACAATGGGATGTTGTCAAATGAATAATTTTGAATGCAATTGTAAACCTGCTTTACCTACCTAAGCCTGGTTTCTTAAATATGACAGTTTTCGTTTCCAAACTCGTAGTCAATCCATCTCAGAGCACCCAATGAAGGACAATTTATTTTAAATAGGTTTAGGAAGCCCGCGAAAGTCGTTGAAGAACAGGAAAATCTATTCAAATAGCGTACGATTCACTCGTTGTACACAACAAAGCCAAAATCTTACATTTTTCAGCTGCAATCCATGTCATATTATTTTTGGCAACACTTTTCCTTCAGACACCTACATTTGTTTTCGTTTGTTCGTGTTGTTCTGTTCTAGTTCGACAGTCGTTTTGTGTATCTCGGTGCCGATGTAAGTATTTTGTCGCGGGGCAAAAGAACGTGCAAATTGTTCGAGCAACGTAATTCCAAACAAAACTCTTCAAATAGTGGACAGAAGGCGAAAATAATATTACCTCGAAAATTGGTCAGGAAAAAAGCCTCGGAGAAAAACTGTTGATATTGTGATGACCCGTTTTTGGAAAATTCCTTTCTCAAATGCACCATGTTACATAATTCTAATGTAACGATTGTCCCGGCGACTTAATTCGCTTTGTTTTTTGAAGTTCGATCAAATACCATTGCTATAGTTGATTCATTAAGACCTGTGCAAAGCTCCCTGTGATTATCCTTTCTAGAGATGATTGCAAAAATATGTATATTTATATGTGTATATACACGTAAACACAACAGATTATTACATAAGTCGATATCATCGAGTAATGTGTAAAATTACCTGAGTAGGGAATCGCCGCGGAATTTGTCCTGACAATGTCGCAAACATTTCTAGTATTTCTCTGTGGCGAAAGGAGCACTTTTTTGGCATTGCTGCCTTCGGCCTGTACATACGTACGTTCATAGTAGTAGAGAGGTTATGCAAACACTTGACGTAAGGCATGTAAGGGGGTGCATTCGAAAAACTTGCATAATTTTCCTTGACACTGTCCCAAGCTAGTTGTGCTGCAATACATGTAAAAGTATGTTGAAACAGTACATGCTCAGTATATCGCACAACGTTTTCCCAGCTTTCAGAATTAAATGTAGTCATTTGTTGAAAATGTCTACTGTATTCATTGAGTTTATAAAATTTGGCATGATTCCATTTAATTGTATTATAAGTATTTTTATACTTTTTTTTAAACTGAAATGTCGTTCAAGGTTTTTGTTTTGATGTGTGCACAATCTTCGTAATGGACGGGAAAAGTTATAAACGTTTTTTAGAAAAAAGCACAATGACCTTAAAGTACTTTAAAATAACAACTATTTGTATTGGAAGCATAGGTTAACATTATTGTGACTGAACAGTTATCACGGTTAATGGCTTCGAATATTGTATATAAACACCCTTTTTGTCAATGTTGTGGGTAATGAATTTCCGAACATTCAAGATACATTGAATAATTACACATCGAACTCGTATCAACCGATATGACTTTTTGGGAGTTTCATTAGCACTGATATTGAATTAGCAAGATTACATTTTCCTCTACATTTATATGTGATCTTGACCGAGACTAAACGCGATAATTGTCCAATCACAATAAACTTAACGTATGTTTTTCACAGTAGAATTTATTGTGATTGGTCAATTATCAAAAACATTACCTCAGTAACAAAATCAATTTTTTGTGTACGGGTTTGAGGACAAATTATTCTTCTACTTTGAGCGAGCCAAGGGTAACCAGCAAAAATTGTTTGATTGAATTGAACGGATGTATTATCGAGTATCATCCGAAGAATCTGTTATGTTATTTCCTCTAACAATTTTTAAGATTACGAATTGATGAAAAAGAGAAACAATTGAATACTGGCAAAATATTGAATATTGTTCCTAATATTTTTATGATGTCGAAAAAAATTGCAAAACTAGTAGATTCATTCCGCTTCTGAAACAGAGGATTTATTTCTATTCAAAGCAATACATACACATCAGAGGGCTGCAATGAGTATGATTGAGCAGGCTTGATAACACTTAGTGGAAATACAATCAAATTCAAACAGTCGTTCAGATGTAACGTGCTTATTCAAGTTGCTCATGCGAAACGAAAAAGTTGTGAGCGAACATGAACTGATCGAAGCTTTGTATTCGAAATCAAACAGCTCACATGAGTTATTTGTTTAAGAACTTATGTTGAGTTGTTCATATCGGGGCGATCATCTATGATGAGTCTGATCGGTTTGATTCATCCTAGTTAAGTGAGTGATTTGATTTGATTAAAATACAAATGTTCGAATCTGAGCGAAACCATGATTGCAATTTTACTAAAGTTTTCATAACTAAAAGCTGCTCCGTTAAAGAAATTGGTACAAATTATATTTAATAAATAGACAATTTATTAATTTTGTTTGGGTTTTTGGTATGTTAGTGACTTCTTTCTAAGAAAACAAAATTAATATTTTTAATAAAGAAACACATCAATGGCATTTAGTAAATAAAAATTGTTTAAATATTTTTTTTTTATTTTACAATATTGGTAAAGATTTTTCACACAAAACTTCGACCATATCGTTTTTCTACACAGTGAGTTATTTCTACTTGCAATAATTTCGGTCGCACTATCACAATATTCTTCCATTTCAAATATTATAAAAGTTGAAATAAACTGTCCAACTTAATTTAATGGTTGAATAAACAATGATGCTGTGCGAACTCGATTGAAAGAAAACAATTTAAAAAACAGTAAGTTCGTCCGGGCCGAACATTGAATACCCTCCATCATTTGGAACGAATTTGGAAATAAAATCCTGAAAAAAATTCTGTTAAAATTCTAAAAATACCGAATATAGCCGTTATATTTGTGTCTATACGACATGGGCATTGTTTGTCATAAGTCATTACCATATTCAAATTCAAAACTTGAAATAAACGGTGAATAATGAAGCTAAAATCATCAAAATATCGTAATCAAATATCAAAATTTCGTTGGGTATTGTACCTAAACTCGTCAAAACACCGAATATAAGGAGGTACTGGTATGTGGGGCCTATACGAAGACCTGGAACTGCATAGACAATTTTCTGTTACAGACTGTAGTTCCCATTACGAGCTCTAAATACGTAATTTGAAACAATTTTGGTGAATAATGCCGCTAAAATTATCAAAATACCGAATATGGGGAGGTACCGTTATATGGGGGCTATACGAAGACGTAGACCTGCACAGACAATTTTCTGCCTTAGGCTGTAGTATCCATTACGAACTTCAAATACTAAATTTGAAACAATTCCGGTTAATAATGTCGCTAAAATCATCAAATGCCGAATATAGGGAGGTACCGTTAAGTGGGGGCTATACGAAGACGTGGACCTGCATAGACAGGTTTCTGTCTTAGGCTGAACAGAACATATTATTGGCATTTTTTCAACATCAACTAAGAAATGAAGACATTTATCGAAAAAAGATCATTTATGAAATTTAAAAATGCTAAATAAAATAATTTATTGAAATTTTAAAAACTTTCAGGAAAAATAATTGTTATCAATGAAATGTATAATGTTCAATGGTGTATGTACATTCAAACGAAAGTACATGTTGTCTAATCTTTCATCTGAGGTACGCTTCTTGTCCAAGAGTTCGAATTTCCGCCAATTGCACGCTCACCGCACACAATACTGATTTTAAGTTCTTCATAGAACTAGATAATGAATCACACTCTTTTCAGAAGCTTTCCTTAAACATATTAATCTACAATGGGAGTACCTGCTGGCGATGTTGAAAAGGGCAAAAAAATTTTTGTCCAGCGTTGCGCCCAATGCCACACTGTGGAAGCTGGAGGAAAACATAAGGTGGGTCCAAATTTGCATGGTCTATTTGGTCGCAAGACCGGCCAGGCTGCTGGTTTCGCCTACACAGATGCCAACAAAGCCAAGGGCATTACATGGAACGAAGACACCTTGTTTGAGTATCTAGAAAACCCAAAGAAATATATCCCAGGCACAAAGATGATATTTGCCGGTCTAAAGAAACCCAATGAACGCGGAGATCTCATTGCTTATCTTAAATCTGCCACCAAGTAAACGTAGGCTGAAATTACTACAACTAACACTACCAACTTATCCACCTGTGACATCAATCATACCAGAATTCAATTTACCACAAGCACGATGTATTTAAGATCTTGGCTCCTATATTCGAAATGGACAAATCTTGTACGGCTTATATGTTCTTAGTGGAAATTTGTCATCTTGCAAACAAATACGCATGGATACAAGAAACCAAGTATTTGAATCCTACCACCATATTTAAATTTTAATATAATAGTAAATGTAAAAAAAACTAAGACGTCAATAAATTATACAAAATAAACTAACACTATAAAGTTTCAAGTACATTTTTATATTTTAAATCCTGCATTCATAATTCCTATCACTTGGGGGTATATCAAATGACAGTCAATAGACCATCCACCACCACCACCACTACAAAAACGAACACTTGCTGCCTGTTAAATAAGAACGTCTATATTTTCAATAAGTGTGTACAAAAGAATGAATACCTTTATTTTCAGTATGGCTTTACATCAGGGGTAGGCAGAGAAATTCAAAATTATTCTGTCATTGTATGTGTTTTGAAATAAAAAATATTGCAAGTGTCTCTCTATAAACAGAGGAAAATAATTTGTAAGTTTTAATTTTTCAAATTTAAATTTTCTGTTTTCAAAACAATTTTGTTGGTAAAAATAAATATTTAGATCAAACAAATGCGAGCTATATTTGCACATTTATTTCAATTATGCTACATTTTAAAATAAAAAAATGATATAAACGTCCTTCAAAAATATAGAAGTTGATACTTTCAGACATTTTATATAATTTTGATGAAATTTTTGTTTAATAATTTCGGACATAACACGCTAACCATCTAAGTTGACCCTTTAAAAAATAATACCGATTACCACCGGCTGACATACAGACATACACAAATAGTGGTAGAATTTTACGCTGATCAAAAACCCATATCCTGTGTTGGGTCCTAAAAGATTATTTCTATGAATTACAAACAGAATGACAAATATCACATCCTGTTATTTCTCCCAATATTGACTAAAACATACATATCATTTCATTGAATTAAGAAATATGAAAATGTCCAATAATTTGGAAGGACAATAAATTTGTCGATCAATATGAAATGAATTTTTATTCCTTATATGTGAATTCGTATACAAATGCTGTCAAATAGAAATCAATCAAAAAAGAGTAAAATTTCTCTTTATTGATTGATTTCTAGTTGTAATTTTTGTAGTTTCTCAAATATTTGTTAGTTTGTGGTTAGATATATAGACCAGAATCACTTTCTGAGTTGATTTTGTTTGCCCCAAGGACGAACCCTATTCAAATTGGAGATAATTGGTAAAAAAATAGATATAGCTCCTATATATCTTCGTCCGATTTGCATTTTATTGTCCACCAAACGTGTAATATCAGCCCGAATAGTATGGAAATTTGCACATACAACCAAATTTGGCCTGAGAATAAGTATGTCAAATTTGATCGAAATCGGTTCAGATATAGCTATAGCTCCCATATATATTTTTCATTCGATTTGTATTTTTTGTCCTCCGCAGCTGTAATATGCACTCTGTAACAACAATATTTGGGGAAATATATCAAATGTAGCTCAGAAATACATTTGCTAAATTTTATCGAGATTGGTTTAGATTTGGAAATAGCTCCCATATATAACTTAGACCAAACGTCTAATATTTGCCCAAATAGTATGGAATCGACCGAATTGAGTCTAGAAGCTAGTATGCCAAATTTGGTGAAGACCGGTTCAGATATAGCTATAGCTCCCATATATATTGTTCATTTTATTTGTTATATTTATTCCCCACAGCCATAATGTGCACTCCGTAACAACGATATCCAGGGAAATGTATCAAATATGTATCAAAGCTCAGAAATATCTTTGCCAAATTTTATCGAGATCGGTTCAGATTTGGATATAGCTCCCATATATATCCTTATCTGATTTCAAATTAATTTTGCACCAAATGGGCAATACAAGTCCGAATTTAAAAGATACAAATGCTTCGGCATATTTAGTCCTTTGAACTTTAAATTACAACTATAAACATAGCGTGTATGATTAAATTCTCCCATAAAATCTTTTAATTGTTATGTGGAGCTCTCTCATCCGAGGTACGCATTTTGTCCACGAGTTGAAATTACCACAGAAAACTGGAAACAAAAGAGGCAATATTTTCAAAATGTTTGTATCGGCAGAAAAAATGTTTAACAAGTGTCTCTCCAGCAGAATTTAAAAATAGAAAAATACAAAAATATGTTCAAAATATCAACATTTACACAAAAAGTTGAAAACGTGAATGAAAATTATAAAATTAATGATATAATAAATCTTTGGGAGAAAAATAATCATTTCTTCTATTCATATTAGTGAGAATTTAATGTATTTTAGCATAAATTCCCATTAAAATCAACAAACAAAATTTAAAACAAGTAAAAAAGCTGTAATACCCTCCACCATTTGGTACAAATTTGGCAATTTCCAAAAAAAAAAACCGTTAAAAATTCTGTTAAAATCTTAAAAATACCGAATGCTTATACGACGACATGGGCCTGCATAGGCAACTTTTGTCATAAATTATTACAATATTTAAATGCGAAACTTGAAGAAAAATCTGTTTATTATACCCTACAACACTATGTGTTGGGGGTATTATAAGTTTGATTGGGCCAAAAATTATGTAACACCACGAAATATTGATTTCCCACATAGGAAAGTATATATGGATCTTCCTATCTCGCCGAGCTGAGTCGATCTAGCTATGGATGTCCGTCCGTCCGTCTGTCCGTCTGTCCATGTTAATTTGTAATCACTCTACAGGTCGCAATTATGGTCCGATCTTCACGAAATTTAAAATGGAGGTGGGGCTAGGGTCAGAATAGGCATATTTTCATTTTGAATTAAACATTTGGTAATATTTCTACAGCTAACAAAACTAAGTAGTTAGGATATCAGGATATCATATACAGATCGCATTTATGGCCCGATCCTTACGAAATTTTGCATGGAGATAAGATGAGGGTCAGAATAGAAGCCTACTCTTTTTGGAGATGATCGCCATATATTTGAAATGGACCAAAAAACTGCAAAATTGTCAGGAGGTCGTAATTATCGCCCGATCCTCACGCACATTTGAATGGGGGTTACTGGACATTGCAAAGCCAAGCAGTTTTGGATGGCCATCCAAAAATATTTGTATTTGTAGACAAAATACGAAAATGTCCACTCCTGTGACTTTTTGGAGAATTCACAAACACAGGAAAGACGCACTTCTGACTATTTCGTTAACGCTGATTTCGTTGAAGATTATAGTCAATTGTCTGTATCTCATATAGATGCGTTTCAGTCAAAAACTAATAATAAATGTTAATCTTTTGCCACTTCTGAGAGATTATAGGTCTTTGGGAAATATTGGTTCCAGATTTAGGAAGACCATTTACGTGCAACATCTACCAATAAATCGGAAATGAGCAAATTAGTTTAAGTTGCTATTATTCGAAAATTAGAGAACGAAACCTGATGGTTTTCTTTTATTATTTGTCACAATATCTTGTGAAATTCTGTCGAGTATTTCGCCTAATAAACTGTATGGTTTATTATAGTGTTGTAGGGTATTCAACGGTCGGCCCCGCTCGACTGTAGCCTTTGCTTACTTGTAATGTAGCTAAAATCGTCAAAATACCGAATATGGGGTTACCGTTATATGGGGGCTATACGAAGACGTGGACCTGCACAGACAATTTTCTGGCATGGGCTGAAGTATCCATTACGAACTTCACATGCGAAATTTGAAACAATCCCTGTAAATAATGTCGCTAAAATCATTAAAATACCGAATATCGGGGGTACCGTTATATGGGGGCTATATGAAGACGTGGACCTACATGGCCCATTTTTTGACTTTGGATGAAGTATCCATTACGAACTTCAAATACCAAATTTGAAACGATTCCGGTAAACAATGTCGCTAAAATCATCAAAATACCGAATATCGGGGGGTACTGTTATATGGGGGCTATATGAAGACGTGGACCTGCACAGATAATTTTCTGTCTTAGGCTGTAGTATCCATTACGAACTTCAAATACCAAATTTGAAATAATTCTGGTGAATAATGTCGCTAAAATCATCAAAATACCGAATATCGGGAGGTACCGTTATATGGGGGCTATATGATAACTTGGACCTACATGGCCCATTTACGAACTTAACCTGCCTACTGGGAAAATATACATGTGTGCAAAATTTTAGCCTTCTATCTCAATTTGTTCGAAAGATAGCGTGATTACAACAGACAGACAGACAGACGGACATGGCTAAATCGTCTTAGAATTTTACGCTGATCAAGAATATATATACTTTGTTGGGTCTGACATGAATATTTCGAGGAGTTACAAACGGAATGACAAAATTAATATACCCTCCATAGTATGGTGCAGGGTATAAAAAAAGGAATTATTTTACTATGAATTACGAATCGTGCTGTATGAACGGGTTAATTCGTGTACCTAATTCTGAGAGCGAACAACGTTGTTCGGTTTCCAATGGAAACATGCTATTATTGGTTTACAATTGTGTTGGGGAACACACAGATATCCCATGGGAAGAATAATTCAGGTAAAGGCAAGTGTTGTTGTACAACAATCATAACAACAACCACATACAAATTTGTCAGAGTTATGTGTCCAAAAATGTAAACAAAATAATTAATTTTCAGTAATTTATTTTAATTACAAAAATATACATTTTTGGAATATGGAATATTGAAATATTATATCTTAAATATATATCTTAAAATATTTATTTTTAATGTTTTCACATCATTCCCCTGAATGTATAGTTTAGTTGTTGGTCCTAATCTCTCAACACTTCAAGCAATCGCTAGAAAATCTCGAAAAATGCAATATAACTTTCAAGTTGAAAGCAAACCGCAAACATTCATAAAGTATTCTAAATTTTGCAATTTTAGGAAATATGAAATATACGAATATATTATCTAACGTGGTGTCGCTGTTCCTTAACCACAAAAAAAGTATCCGGACCATCGCCTTTGGCGTTTTGTTAAGTACAACGGCGATTTGTTCTATTATTAGACTTAAAACATTTCTACATTGCCCTGCAGAGAAATTTTATATCAAAAAGGGTATACCTATTGTATATCAAGAAATAGAATTAAATCAAAAAAACGATTGAAACTACTATTACTATTGAGTCAAATCATGGTAGAAGAATATAGGTAGATGCATCAACGCTTGGGAACATTGATATGTCAAAAATTTTAAAATGTTTTATGAAAAAT